TTGGGGACTATTCTCTTCCTACTACCACTATCACATATAACAAATCATGCTAGCACATAAACATATCTGGTAATAGCAAACCTAGATGAATATCACAAAGACAATCATCTAACATACAACTCCTACTGGTGGGCCGACATTATGGCCATAGACCCATCGCTACTGGAAGGTAACTCACCTCGAATGCAAAAGCTTCCCAAAGAAATCCTTACTGCTGCCCTGTCCACTTCCAGAGCTATCAATACCAACCAATATCCCAATTAGCAATTGGTTCCCATACCAAAATCCTTAATCCATGCATGGGGTAAAATAACCATTCAACCTATGGCCCAGTATGATCCGGAACTAAGGCCATAACCCAAACAAAAGCCCAACACTATAATGTCCATAATCCAGTCAATGGCCCAATTTTCCAAATTGGGCCCAAACCTTTCTAGTGGACCTTATACTAAAACCCAATATTCTCCTTAGTCAATAATCATGACCCAAATGGCCCACAAAGGCCTACAACAACCTAGTCCAAGAATTGGCCCAATCCTAGGCCCAAAAATGTGAAGTCCATTTCTATATTGGTCCATAAGGCCCAATAGGCCCAACTATACCAATATTAGCCCAAGATACATTTATATCCGACAACCCGCAAGTTTAGGCCCAAAACCATTAGGGCCCAAAAGGTCCAAAGTTCACTAAAGCCCAAGACCTCCTGAGAGCGTACACCCAGCGTACCTCTTATATACGCTTAGCGTACTGGGAAAAAGGGTTGTACACGCAGCGTACAACATTGTACGCCCATCATACAAACGGCTCATGCACAACATCCATTAAGTGCTTAATTCTTGATTCAATAAGTCCAAATCACAGATCTGAGCTATACTTAACGTCTAAACTCATAAAGTCACTGACTTGGTGACTTTGCATGTCCCAAACAAACCCAAACTCCAAAAATGGAATTTTACTTCCATAAAAGTGACCCTCACTCAAGGATGAATCCATTAAGACCATGAAGATGGCAACTTTCTGCCTTAGGGACTCAAATAGCATCAAGGGTGGCAACCCCAAGCCTAAAAAACGGATTTGGAAACATAAAGCTCCATTCTTGGGACCAAAAGATACAAAAACTCAACATAATAGATATAGGCATTCAATGGTCAAGTTCAAAGCTTTATACCTTCATGAAGCTGAGAATGAGTCCTAAAAGCCAGATCCATAAGCTCCTTCTTGATTCCCATCTTTGTGTCAAACTTCATCTTCTTGAAAGTGGGTCAAACACCCTAAAAATGGACTCCACAAGCTTAAAATGCCACCATGGATGATATATGATGATTTCTAGGGTTTAGAGGGATGGAGGCTGAAGGTATTAGGGTTAGGTTATGAGATAAGGAGTTTAAATAGGGTCCAAGACCCTAAAATAGGGTTTTGATCTGACTGGAGTACGCCCAGCGTACATATGGTACGCCTAACGTACTCCTGGGAACATTCGCAATCCTCCTAGTTAGTACGCCCAGTGTAGTCCAAAAGTATGCCCAACGTATTGCCTTCTTCACTAGTATGCCCTGCGTACTCCTTGTGTACGCCCAACGTACTCGGCTAAGCCTGTAACTACTAAACTTATGAAGGCCATAACTTCTTCGTTATAAATCTGTTTTCGACGATCCTTATATCCACGAAAGGTAACGGGAAGACCTACTCTTCTATAAACTGATATCTTCCTTAAGACCTTCCGAACAAAAGTTCATTCCACAAAAGCCCAAATTAACACTTTACCGAAATACCCCTAGGCTCCAAAACACAAATCAAACATCCAGATCGCTTCTAATACATCACTCGCACCCAAAATGGCCTAAATCTTACACTTTCAAAAGCCATAATCCTTATGACGATCGGCCTTTGGGTCACAGCCTCAGACTAGGAGTCAATTCAGAACAGGACGTTACAACTCTCCCCCACTTAAATTAGATTTGTCCTCGAAATCATTCATTACCATCACTCGCCTCAAGACAACTATCTGAGGAATACAACCGAAGCCCCAAACTGAAACTTCCATCCCGAGGAAGATCAACCGTGAGCACTATGCTCCTAACAACAACCAACGACCTGTCCTGAACCATCAAGTACTTATTCCTGACATTCGAAGGGGTACAACCATTATTCTGTGCCGTCCATGGCCCTCCCAAGGCAATTGGAACCCGAACCAAACCTCTTATCCCATAATTAACACCCGAAACTTCAATCCTGCAACTCATTTTACTTCCTGAGTCCTGAAATCTATAATGGCCTGACTTCCTGACAACTCACCTATGTTGAACAACTCCTTATCAGGATCTCACTGATGGCATCCCAGTCATAATCCTTCCAACTCTGAGCACTCAATGGATCCTTAGAATAACTCTTCAAACCAGGTGAAGACCGAATTCTCGCTCTCTCAAATAAAACCAAACCCACTTGCTTTCCAATCCCTAATCACATTGATGTCTCGAACGGAAAAAAATCGCTAACCACATACCACAACATCAAACTTATACTCGACAGAGGGCCTAGATAATCCTGCTGTGAGTGACTTGTCACTTCCCACTCAACCAACTATTCCGTCCGTACTTGCAACCTAAAACACTAATACTAATACTATCCAAACATTGAAACTACTAGAAACACTGAACTGACTGAAGCAGTATGTTGCCACATGGATGCTTTCCAAAAGCTATCGAGACTTCATGGGTCTCAATTCTCTTGCCAATCATCTGAAATACTGGGTTCCATCCCAGCTGCAAAGCCAAAGGACTCCCACTTAGTCGCATCACACGACTTATGAACGAAATCCTTCTATGGACTAGTTGCCACTGGTTATCATGCAATTGTGGCTCTAACAACCTTTTGATCTAACCAATCGGGTCCATGTGTCGAATCCTGAATCCAAGGCTAAAAGTGATTGCTACCTGACCAATGGTAGCCTTATCTCACACGTCCTTAATTAGTCTATTGCTTCCATGATCTTATAAATGTAGTGGCGTTCCTACAGCCTTATCACTAGCTCAACTAGATCTAATCCCTTTGGTTAATTCCAAAATCCTATCCGTGGATTTCCATATCTTCATTACTACACTCGAACTGGTGGGTGCTACGGTTCCTTTCGCGTTCCAACAACATGCTCATGCCATCTACAAACCTAGTGAATGCTACGGCTACCGCAGTCTTACATCATTTCCCATGCTAACTGACCACTATTGAATGTTACAACTATTCCATAGTCTTACAACACTTTCCAAACCGGGTCAAACATGCACTCGACCTAACACACCACTGAACTTGAGTTCTAACTGGAACTCTAACTTGGTTCCCGAAACCTGCTATTACGTGACCCCACTGTATCAATACCGCACCCATGGCCGTGATTAAAGAGTCACAGTAACCCATGAAATCATCTATACCCTCTAGCAAGGTGAGAATCGGTGCCTCGCATAACCGCTGTCTGAGAGTCTCGAAGGCTGCTTGCTGCTCATACCCCCTCCCCCCAGCAAAAGGCCACCGATTTCTTGGTCAGTCGGGTCGAAGGAACCGCAATCTTGGAGAAGTATCGTATAAATCTTCGGAAATAACCTACTAGGAAACTTCGAATCTCAGTTGGAGACCTCGGAATCTCCCACTGCTTCGCGACCCGTATCTTGGTCGGATCCACCAGAATAAACTTCTGGTTGACAAGGTGCCTAAGAGATTACACCTCGCGCAACCAGAACTCACATTTGGAGAACTTACAAAAGTCTCTCCCCTACTTAGATTCGACCAAGTCTTCACAGTACATGAGAATTGAAGGATTCCCAATCCTTCTTACTTCCTAATAGTCTACTGTCGACAATCTGAGCTTACCAATGCTAACGATCAATTATCATCAAACCTTAAGATCGCCCATCCTCAGAAATCTTGATGAGTACTTTGGAAATCTGGTTCGATTTGACACCTCAATCCATCCCCCATGTTGTCAACTGAAGGCCTTAATCTTCACACTGACTGACAAATCCTCGTTCCCACTTCCAATCTTGCAACACCACTGAACTCTAACCAAACACCGCATATGTGAAAATACAATTTTCTTGAACATCCAATGACCAACCACCTGTGCATATAACACCCGCAACTGACATTACCATCTTCATGCTACCAGTCCTTTCCTAGTAACGGTAGTGCCTTAAACTCCAAAGTTCATCCATAGACAATTGTCGACAATATCTGAACCATGATAGAACCACTGAATGCTAACTTCATTGGAGATCTAGCGCTCTAAACCTGACCGAATATCCTCTAAATAATACCCGCACAAATCCTGATGAAGATCTGGAATGATAACGGTACACGTGAAACCCACTCCGTAAAATGCATCCCTCTGTGGTTCATCAAGGACTTTTCGGCATAAAGGATGGCATATATGATCCTTGATAGCCCAAACACTAACAGAAAACCGACCCGAGATCTAACTTATCCAAACTCACTCACAATCCCAAGGCGATACGTATCCCAAACATTCATCTATTAGCATAAGAAGACGACATACCTGCAACATCTAGAGGAATACTGATCACCCTTAACTGATATGACCAACCCTGCCACACCTGTAGCAGCCTAAACCCTTGGAGCGACAAACTCCCTTGTGCACTTTCCCATACATGTTGCGCTGACTCCGGCCCTGTTGGCCTGTCACCCAATGATCAGAAGTCATGGGTCTTTTCCCTAGACCCTCTACTATACACACCTAACACGAACCTCTCTTCTCAATGATTTTTGACCGCAATTGATTTAATTTTGACCAAATTCAATTTTATTTGACTTTGGTTGACCGAAATCAACCTCAGTTGATCGATATCAATTTTTGAGAAAATTAATTTTATTTATTTAATTTTTCTTTTCCCACTTGGCTCGTTTTATGACTCTTACAACATTATTGGATGTCTTTCTGACCCTCCACAGAACCATCATGAGTTTAGGTATATGGTTCATGGTCTAAACAATACATGATCACTCATGCTCTTCGAGTGAATCCTTTCATTTATAAAGACCTAGTGAGGGAGTTCTGGAATAAGGATTCTATTAATGAAGTAGGAGCAGATGACGCAGGCACTGTAGAGTCAACAGTCAAGGAGAAGATGATTATTGTATCAGAGAAAACCATTCGTGAAGTTCTTAGATTTGGAGATCAGCCAGGATTCCTAATTGAGATATATGTTGATCAGATTAAGGAGGTTCTTGAACGGATGTACTATGAAAGAACTTTTCCTCCAACCTTGAAGAAGTTGCTCCCTCCCTACTGGTGCTTCCTAGCTCACACTTTTGAAATCTGCATTTTAGGCAGGAAAATGGGAGCTGATGAGATCTCAAAATCATCTATTGGTGCCATTATTGCTCTTATTATGGATTTGGACTTCAACTTTTCTAAGTTCGTGTTTAATGAGATAAAGAGCAACCTGTGGTGGAAAAATAAGGATGTGTTCCTGATGTATCCAACATTTATACAGATGATCTTCGATGATCAACATCCTGATTTGGAAAGGACGGGTGAAACCTTGGATATGAAGTCTTTGGGTCCAAATTCCTTCGGTTTAATGAAACAAAATCGCAAGGGTTCAAAGATCATGTTAAGGGGAACAAGCCCTTAGTGAAATATGGAAATTTTGCTGGGATTGAAGAACATCCAGTTTTTCAAGATATTCCAGCTGCTGAACTAGAAAATGTTCCAATTGCCGAAGCTTAGAGTATTCCTATTCCTGAGAATGAGGTTGTTTCTATTGTCACTCCTTCTGTGGAAATTGTGGCAGAGGAGCTTGTGCCAATTCTCGTTGATGATGATGATGGTAGTGAAGGTGATGATGAAGAGGGCGATACAGTGAGATTTAATGATGAGGATTTTGTGTTTGATTTTGAGCGTAGTGATGATGATATTGATTCATTTTTCGAGAATGATAAAGTCAATGCCATTGTGATTTCTCCAACAGAGACTGAGGGAGATTCAAACATTCTCAAGCTGCCACTTCAAACGCCCACTCAGATGACAGAGGTTATTGCTCGATTGGATTCAACTGCAAGGAAGCCTCCCCGAGCAATTGCAACTCCAAACATTATTTCATTTAAAAGTGATATTGAAGAGTCTCAAGCATCCCAACTACCACTAAAACAAAAACATGTTGATCCTAGGTCGGGAGTGCTCATCAGAGAACAAACAAAACCAGCACAACAGCCAACCACAACCACTGAACCAGCCTAATCGGTTCTAGATGAAAGCCCAATTTTGCATGAGGGGCCTAGTTTTGCTCAAAAATCTTTTAAACCAGGATGCTCTTCAGCTCTTCTACCTGCGCATGATGTCACTTCTAAAAGAGTTGCCATGTTTCTTGCTCAAAAAATGTTGACCTGCACCCAAGGGTAAAGAAATAACTATTGGTGCAGAGAGATCCAATGATGAAGATCAGAAGACTATTGAGCTTAAATAAGAAATTGGGATCTTGAATCAGAAGATTATTGTAACACACCGACTCCCAGGTACAAGTTTTAGGCATTATATGACATATCTATGGACCTACTCGACGAGTTGGTTGCCCCCAACTCATCATGCAGAGGTAGGTTAGCCCCATAAGAGATAGAGTACTCGTGAATTGGGATCCTAGGAGGAAGACTTGGGGTAACTACAGGTTGCTGTGGAAGGTAGTATTGGGCTCGTACTACTGAAAGCACCAGATCTGTATGCAACCCAACTAAGAATCCTTAGGGTACTAAGGAGCATGTAGGGGTGGGAAATCAAGTGTGAGTATGCTCGAACAAGTCTATGATGATTTTCATGTTGTGTTTCAGAGACATCATGGTGGGTACGCGCCACAACCCCAAGAGCAGTAGTGTCAGTGACGAGGAGATCCGCAAGATCATTCATGAGGAGGTGGCCGCAGCTATCCGAGAGGCGATACCGGAGATGTTTGGGTCTATTAAGACCACATTGATTGAGATATTTGATGAGCGATATGCTGATGTTACTGAGGTTGCTGTTGTTGCTAGGCCACAGGGAGGTGACTCGTTGTTGTTCCGGAAGTTCAGCAATATGAAGCCACCAGAGTTTGATGGGACACAAGATCTTATTGCTTTTATGAGATGGATCTTTGACATTGAGGGGTTTTTTACACGTCTTCATACCCCGAGCACCTGAGAGTATGGTTTGTACTAAACCAGCTTCGCTTGGGAGCGAAGGACTGGTCGAAGTTCGTGACAACCAACTTTACTCCTGCAGATCATGCTGCAGTAACAGGGGATAGATTTACCTAGTTGTTCCAAGACGAGTATGTTCCCCCGGTGAAGAGGGAACGGTTAACCTAGTGGTTTTCATCTTTCAAGCAGAAGACAAAAACTATGATTGAGATCACCAGGATGTTCCATGATAGAGCGTTGTTTTACCCTGAGCACGTGTCTACTAAGCAGGCACATGTGAGCCGATATCTGAGCATACTGAGGAGGGATATATGGGAGTTCATGGTGAACTCATCATACCGGGCATTGGCTGATCTTCAGACCAATGGCAAGAGGAGGGAGATTGAGCTAGAGTTGCAGACCAGAGAAGAGGAGCACTCCCGGGGTTAAGATAGGAGATCGATACAGTCGCAGCCAGTGACAAAGTGGGCAAAGCCCGCTGATACGATAGTTTGGGGCCAGAAGGGCCGCACTTGTGTAAAGTGCGAAAAGAGTCACGAGGGAACATGTCGGGCAGGGATTTGCTACAAATATGGCAAAGAGGGGCACATGGCGAAGGATTTCCCTAAAGGGATTGCAGTTTACTTTAACTGCGACCAGATCGGCCATTGGAAGGCCGAGTGTCCTCAGCTCAGGGTTCTGCACCTGTTGCTTTACGTCCTATTGATAGTCGGCCAGTAAAGGTTGAGACATCGAGAGCTCATGGGAGAGCTTTTCAACTAACAACGGAGGAGGTCTGAGTAGCACCTGATGTCGTGGTTGGTACGTATTTTCTTATTCCTTTTATTTTGAGATTTGTTGTGCTTATACTGTGTTGTATATAGGTACTTTTCTTGTGAGTTGTGTACCTGCTTTGGTGTTATTTGACTCGGGTGGAAGTCGATCCTTTGTGTCTCTAGCTTTTAGTCATCACATCAGTAGCGAGGCATTGAGTCGGCCTCTGAGGGTTTCTATAGCCGACGAGCATGTGGTTCTTGCCACTGATGTATTCCGAGGATGAGTACTAGAGATTTTTGGTGTCGATTTCCTGATAGATGTGGTGCTATTAGCGATGGGGGATGTCTGTGTCATAGTGGGTATGGATTGGTTGAGTCGGTTTGGAGAGGTGATCGATTGTGACCGTTAGATGGTGACCACATGAGACCCTAGTGAGGGAGTGCTTATGGTGTATGGCGAGGGTACTAGATCTGGATGCTCTACTGTCAGGGCGAGACAGAGTCTATAGCAGGGTTGTATGGCCTTTTTGGCGTACGTGATGGATATCCAGGTGGCTGTAGAGAGGTTGAGTTCTATCTCCGAGGTTCTGATAGTGTGCGAGTTCCAGGACGTTTTCCCTGAGGATTTGCCGAGTGTGCCTCCCTAGAGGGAGGTGCAGTTCTGGATTGATTTGGTTCCGGGTGCGACACCTATTGCCAAGGAACTTTATCGCCTTCCATCACTCTAGATGCAGGAGTTATCCTCACAGCTCCAAGAGTTGCTGGGGAAGGTTTTATCAGACCGAGTAGCTCACTGAGTGGAGCACCGATCCTTTTTTGTCAAGAAGAAGGATGGTTCACACCGGATGTGCATCGATTTTTTGGAGTTGAACAAGCTAACGGTAAAGAACCGTTATCCATGATAGAGGATCAACGATTTATTCAATCAGTTGCAAGGGGCATCTTGGTTTTCCAAGATTGATTTGAGATCTAGATATCATCAGATGAGAGTTTGCGAGGAGGATATCCAGAAGACGGCCTTTAGGAATCGTTATGGGAACTACGAGTTTGTAGTGATGCCTTTCGGACTCACCAACACACCGACAATGTTCATGGATCTCATGAACCGGGTGTACAGGCCCATGTTGGATCGATCGGTAATCGTGTTCATCGATGATATTCTGGTGTACTCGAGGTCTAGAGAGCAGCACGCAGAGCATCTTCGGGAGATTCTTAGAGTATTGAGGGCGGAGAGGCTTTACGCCAAATTCTCCAAGTGTGACTTCTAGTTACGAGAGGTCCAATTCTTGGGGCACCTTGTTAATCAGAATGGGATATTGGTCAACCCGGCCAAGATTGAGGCAGTTATGAGATGGGAGGACGCAAATGGATTTATTATACGTTAACTGTTTTACCAAATAGATTTCTTCAAATGACTTTCTTTCATTTTTTATTCATACTTTAGTGTCTATTAAACATGTCATGACACTTGTATTAAAATTATATTATTAATGCAATGGATGATGTTGTTATTTGTTTACTACTATTCATTGTTTTGATACTGTACATGAAGTCCTCCACCCAAGAACGTTTCCGCCATTCCTGGTTTTGGGGGTGTGACAGTTTCCAAACAACTAGTCGAGTTCATGCGTGTCCAGATATCAGGGAAAGCCCTAACTGGCTCATTGAGTCCTCTTGGTGACTCGCCGAGTTCATACAAAATCAAATACAGGAAACCCTCATCCGACTTGCCAAGTGGGCTAAGTGACTCATCGAGTTCATGTAGTCCATTACTTATACAGATGTTTTTAAGCCACCCTAAAGCTCCATATTGCAGATCTAACCTCCTAGGACATGCTTTCCATGGAAAGTTGCAAACTTTACGTGCATGGATGGTCCTAAATGCCAATACTAGACTAAGGGAAAGGTGAAATCATAGGGAAATGCCCAGGATTGCCAAATCTCATAGCTTTATAGCTATAGAGGCCAAGGGGAGTCCAGATCTAAAGTTACAACTTCAGATCTTGTCCCAATACTCGAAATGACTCCCAAATGTGATAAATATGGCCCTAAACCCAAATATAAAGAGATTTACCTAGAGATAAACCAAGATAATGACTTGTTACCTTCAAAATGAAGCCAAGACGAAGTAGAGTCAGGTTCTCAGGCTCCTTTTTGCTCCAATATTCTTATACTTCACAACATGCACCAAAATCACTCCTTACACCTCACAAACACTCAAGAACAAGGTAATATAGATTAGGGTTTCTTCTGGCTGTCAAGAGGGTGGTAAAGGACTGGAGGAAGGGACTTAAGGTCCTTTAAGTAGGGTGCAAGCCCTAAAAATTAGGGTTTCATTTTCCAGCCCCTACTCGTTGAGTTTGGGTCCTCCGACTCATCGAGTAAACTCCTAGGTTTGGCCTACTACTATCATAGGTTTATCATAGATTTCTCCAAGATTGCTTTTCCTCTCACCAGATTGATCCATAAGGGTGTTACTTTTTCCTGGGGGCCCGAGCAGCAGGCCTCATTCGAGACTCTTCGCCAGAGATTGTGCGGAGTTCCAGTGTTAGCCCTTCCCGAGGGAGTAGAGGACTTTGTAGTTTATTGTGATGCATCTATATCTGGGATAGGTGCAGTGTTGATGCAGAGGGCACATGTGATAGCATATGCATCGAGCAAGTTGAACCCTCATGAGATGAGGTATCCTACCCACGATTTGGAGATGGGGGTGGTGGTGTTCGCCCTCAAGATCTGGCACCACTAACTATATGGAGTCCGGTGTACCATATACATAGACCATAAGAGCCCGATGTACCTCATGGATCAGCCCAACCTAAATATGATACATAGGAGGTGTTTGGATGTGGTGAAGGACTACGACTGCGAGATCTTGTATCATCTGGGTAAGGCTAATGTGTAGCCGATGCCTTGAGTCATAGAGCAATGAGTGCTCCGATTTGAGATGTGTTTGGGATGGGTAAAAGACCATTTTACCACCCCCATGGTCTCAATAATCTCTATCTTGACCAAACCCTAAAGTCAACAGAAGTCAACACTCGAGTCAACAACCCATGTTGACCCGACTCGTCAAGTGCATCTATGTAACTCGTCGAGTCCCCTCGTTCCTTCAGAAATGTCTCAAAAATCCAACTTAACACATCGAGTCCATTAAGTCTATTTTATCATTCAGGTGTTTTAAGGTTGAGTTACAACCCCAAACTCTAGATCTAGCCTCCCAAGGCTGAGATACCACGTAAAGCTGCAAGCTTTACGTCCATGCATGGCAGTTACAAATTGAAATGCCAAAACAAGTTCCATTTAGAGTCCTAAGCGT